GCCGAGTAGGAATTTCTGCCGCTCCAGGAACCCCCAGACCCTGTCCTAGCCGAGATCCGGTATCGACCACCAATAAATTTTGCTTTGTAAGCAAAAGAAAAACTGTTCATGGAATTGGCAACTCTGCCACTATGTCCACTGCAAAGTTCCCTCTATGAAACCACTCTCTCCACCATTCAGCACTTCACTCAAGTTGCTCTGCAGTGAGATTCAGATGAGCTAAGAGCCTTCATTGTTTGTAGCCATTTGGATCCACTATAGGTCAGTTGCAGCACTGACTAATGTGAAAAAAGATTCAGGGATTGAAAGAAAAGTTCCAAGTATTTGCTTTTTGTTTGTGTACAGCACTCAATTATTTTGTCCTTCTTTGGTTTCTTTCATTTTTCTCTTCTTATAAACACTTTATTCTAGGACAGGCTACAGGGTTTTAGTACTCTCTAAGAGTTGCACACTAACTGGACAGGTCACCCCAGGATTCTCCAATGAAGAAGCTGCAGAAGATATGTCTTCTCCATCCAGTAAATATAAGCTAGAAGCATTCAGCTTGGCCAAGGTGCTGCCTATCTGGGAGCAGGTCAAAACTCCCCGAGCCAGTTTTAGTTGGAGGTGTAAAACCATTCTATAAAACACTACACTTACTCTTTTCCTTCATCTTTTGGGATTCTAATGAGCCCACTGGGACCTATCTGACAGGACAGTTTGAATCAAGAGCCTTTTAAGAAGCAAGACATTAGGTTGTGCTTGGAAAGCTCTGTTACAATTCACTCTGGAATACAAAGTGCTTTGCTACTTCCTACCTCCCTGGAAAATGTTTAGCTACTTGTGACCCAGACGTAAGTGATGTTACTGTGAGACAACACACTGTGCATAGCTAAAAGGGAACACTGTTCTTTTCATTTTGAATAATATTCTTAAAATCATTCTAAACTGGCTGTGTTTTGAAATATTTATCAAAATTTCCTGTTTGTTAGCAATTGACTTGTATTCCTTCTCCTGCTACTTCCTACCCTCAACTGGGAAAATAAGAAACTGGACCATAGATGGCTTGCTTTTGTGATCTCCATGTCTAGCAGCCTGGATGAATGCAGCCAGGATGAGATGTTCAAACTGTAAAGATGCTGATTTCGGTGGGGAGGCCTCTCCATTTTCTCTAAACTAACTTTGAATAAATTCACTTTTCTTACTATCAAAAACAAAAATCAAACAAAGTCCTACAGAAAATTAGAATAGATGGCCTCTACTTCGATC